GGCCTTGTGCCACATTTCTGTGTATATATCAGAATAAATATTGCTCTTCGCTAGGGTAGTTAAATATTATGGAATGGGGGGGTTATTACTAACATTATTTTGTTTAGTTTTGTAAATAGATCCGTATACATATTGTAAATACTCACTGGGGCTAGTTTTTTAAATTATTGTTTTATTCCCCTCCGCCATAGACAATGAATTGTACATATGGGGACTAGTTCATATTTTCATAGAGACAATGAGGTATTATGGTGAATGCAGTAAGAAAGGTAAGTAAGAATGTGTTGTTTTGGTGTTAGCAATATTGTAGTATATTTGTGTCAGTGTTTATGGCTAGCTAAGCTTAAATTTAAGACAGAAGAAGACAACCCTTTTCCCCATTCCCCATTTTTCATCTTGTGCCACATTTTCTGTATTGAATCGGAAACAAATATCGCTCTTCGCTATGGTACATAGATTTTATGAATGTAAACGCAGTATTAGACTGGTGATGAAGTCTCACCAATATACAGTTGAGCTGGCTAGATGTAACCGTATGTTCTATGCTAAGAGTTTCTTTTCTCACACTTCTCGTTTGTGGAACTTTTCCGGCTCTGTACATTCCAGCCAAATTTGATCTTCAAAAATTTAAATGCAATGTCAATCGCTTTCTACTATCCTCGTGAATACTCTTCTTTTGTTCTTGCTCCTTAGTAATGTTTCTGTTTTCTAATTCTTTCACACCCAGTAACCTCTTGTGTCTTACTAGCTTTAATGCTTTGCTTGGGGTGAAATCTATTTTTTTTAAATAAATGGTTTTCTGTCCGATACATCCTCTTAGAACATAGTTCTCTTTGGTTTGGTTTGGTTTGGTTTGGTTTAGTTTGTTTTACCGCATATCAACCTCAATGGGTTATTTAATGCCGTCAATTTTTATTGCTGGTAATATATTTCCTTCAATAATGTAGAGCTGGTAATTTTTTTTTTCAAAAATTCATTACTGGTAATATATATATTTTTTTTTACAAAAATGTATTGCTGATAATAATGTATGGCTGGTAAAAATTATTTACAAAAATGTATTGCTAATAATAATGTATGGCTGGTAAAAATTATTTACAAAAATGTATTGCAGGTAATATTTATTCGTCAAAAAATATATTGAAGGGGTTTAAACCCAGTTTTGGGGTCAAGTATTTGCCCATAGTTGGGACCCCCTAACAGGTGCTACCGCCTCGGGTCCGAGTGGACCTGGGAACATCAGCAATTAAGAGGTGGTTCCACGCTCCTCAAAACCTCCTGATCAGGGGCCTTGCTGTTGGACGTAGTTTATCGTCATACTCAGGACACTTAGTTCTCTTTGGATCACACCACTGTAAAGGTGAAGTAAGTCTGGTGAGAAGACGAATCCTTGTCTTACGCATCTTTCTATTTTTGCGTAGATGTTCAATCATTATCGTTTTTGACCTCTTTGTATCATAAATATTACTCATGGAAGTTACATTGCTTGTAGGAATTTTGCAAGCTTTATATCTAAATTGAATGAGAGACTTTGTCTATTTTACTAACTTAATCGAAAAGAAAATGCGTGACTTCATGCGTCTCACCTGCCAGTTCGTTATCTTGTGCTTTCGGGTTTGTTTCCGGTGGTAGTGAAAAGAAATTGAGGTCGAATGGGCTCTTATTTGTGAAACGCTTATTTTGGCATGAAAAAGAGAAGCAATGTTCCTGTCATCGAGCCTAAAGCAAGTAATAAATCTGGTTTGCGCAAAGTTTGCATTAAAGAAATTAACTAATGCTTTGTACTGATTTCTTGTTTCAGGGGTCAATTTGACGAAGGAATGAGCCGATTTTATATTGCGTGTGTACTCGAAGCTCTTGAATACCTGCACGGCAAGCACATTATTTACAGAGATCTAAAGCCTGAGAATTTGTTATTAGATAAACATGGATACATCAAGTTGGTAAGTATAAGCAAAAACGAGGCAATTCAACGTCAATTGCCATCTGCTGTCTTCTTCATCATTTGTCCTTTCCTCACTCCTCCCTATTTTCATTCTTCTCTTTCACTTCCACACCATGTCACCTCCTACTTACTGGTGGCATCGGGGTCGGAGAAGAAACGCAGGCCCCTGATATTTACCTGGCCCAGGGAGCCGTCCCTATGATGGTGGTATCCCGGCTACGACTAGCTTGGACTGGCTCTGACCAGCTTGGACTAGCTATGACAAAATAGGACCAGCTATGACTAGCTTAGACCTGCTCAAGCATACTAACCACGATTAAAATAGATTCCAAAATAGATTTTATGAATATTAATATAATATGTTACACCCATTAATATTTATAGAATCTATCATTAATATCATTTGTATATACCTATATACATATATAATTCCATATTGAATAAATAGCTTTAATTATCTTCCCAAACCAAAACAAAACTATTAAATGAGCCATATAAACAAATTTTTACTACGTTAATAAAACACCGATTAAAATAAAAATAAAAAATAAATATATTAGATAAGAAATAAAAATAAAAAATAAATAAAAATAAAGACAAGCAAAATAATTTAACCCAAATAAATAAACAAATAAACTACTTCCGGCAAAATAACCGCCAAAACTACCCACAATACACCACTGACCAGTATATATAAATAGCCGAAAAAAATAAACAGCACTCGTGGCCTGATGATTGCGTCTAGCATGAAATGACTGTCGCCTCTAAGTATTGACTTCAATGTTCTCTTTATATATATATATATATATATATATATATATATATATATATATATATATATATATATATAGAGAGAGAGAAGAGAGAAGAGAGAGAAAGAGAAAGAGAGAGAGAGAGAAAGAGAAAGAGAGAGAGACAGTAAATGATTTTGAAGGCAAATATTAATATTATTAAAAATTTTAATGGTCGATTCTTCCTAATTAGGAATAATAATCTCACAGAAAGAGAAATTTCAGTCAGAAATTGTCCGACGTACATTTCGGAAGGAAAGTACAAGAAATATGGTCAAAGCATTTGTCTTTCTTAAGTCAGAATCAGGGTAGGTAGAGACAATTGAAGACTTTCGTAGAACTAATTAGTAGGCTGTTATATACCGTACCTATGAACACTAATGAGTATGTCAAAATCCTCATAAATACGTTGGACGCTATTGTAAGTGGTGGGTAATATGCTGTCTAAGTAGTCTACCACTAGCAGTGGTTTACCCACTTCACGCCGCTCGCGAGTATTGTAATTTGCTGATGTTATAAAGATTACCATTTCATTTCCAACGTCCGTTTTGGTTATTCCTCATTCAGTAACCATTTCTCGGTTAAAACACTCTATGTGATCCAGTTTTAATTTACATAAGCTGAAAATATTAAATAAGTAAAAAATATAAGTTTTTTTTAATACAGAAAAGAATACATGATCTTTAAATAAACCTAGAAAGTCTGCTGAGGATTGGATAAAACAAATCTATGAAACTTAACGTATGGTTTTAAATAAGTGTCATATGCCGTACCTATGAACACTAAGTGTATGTCCCAATCCTCATAAATACGGTGGACACTATTGTAACGTGTGGGGGGTAATAGGCTGTCTAAGTAGTCCACCACTAGCAGTGGTTTACCTACTTCACGCCGCTGGCGAGTATTGTATTTTGTTGATATTATAAAGATTACCATATCATTTCCAACCTCCGTTTTGGTTATTCCTCATTCAATAACCCTTTCAATGTTACAAAATAGGCAAAAAATGTTGTGACGTGAGCGAGGTGTAAAGTCTTATATATATATATATATATATATATATATATATATATATATACCAACGGCTTCCCATACTTAATACTTCTCGAATTCCCTCTCGCGTGGTCATGTGTGACGTCATGAGATGCGGTGCGATTTTCGCTTCCAGCGTCTTATATTCACGTGTTTATCGTTGCTTGGAAATCATCCATATAAACAGAAACAGATTATCATCACTGTCTTGTCCGTATATTGTTTAATATATTGTACAGTAATTGACATCTTTGATAATGGCTTATGTAAGCCAAAAGCTTAGATTGGATTAAAAAATATGGATCAATATTGTGATTTTCTTTCTTCGTTTAATGATCATGTTATTAAGCTTAACAGACGTTATGAAAAGAATTTACATAAAGTAAATAGACAACACTTGTCTATATTATTTAATGAAACATGCATGAATGAAAAATGCTGCCTAAATACACACAATATATATATATATATATATATATATATATATATATATATATATATATATATATATTCATGAAAATCAGTTGAATGTTTGATTTGTTTTAATTTGTTCTCAGTGTTTCGAGCTGCACGAGCATTTTCAAACTCACAGAAAAATCTCTAGGGAATAATCGTTACCATGGCAACTATCCAACTTAGAAATTCTCTGGTTAATTCTGAAGAATTTAAATAGTATCCATATACATCCCACTGGTTTTCACGAATTCTATATACCATGAATTGTTTTGATATTTCATATCTGTTACTTTATCATATGTGCATATATACATAAATATACAGAGAGGGAAAGAGGATAACAACTAAGAATCGAACTAACGAGATTTCTGTAAAAAAAAAAAAAGATGACGGAATAACTGAGTGATATTAAGGGTAAAAACATTACTTAGATCTATAGGCAATTGTGCAGAGCAATGATCACCAAGTCGGCATGGAATATAACAAAAGTCAAACTGAAGCAAAAATAATTAAAATGTACCTTTTTATTTAATATGTATATATCTAGAATATGTTTCGGGTTAAGACCGGAAGTAAAAATTTAAATTTTTTTTTTTTTTTTTCCTAATAATAATTTAATTTTTATGTTTTTCCAGGTCGATTTTGGATTTGCCAAGCACGTTCCTTCAGGAAGGAAAACATGGACTTTCTGTGGAACACCGGAATATGTAGCACCTGAGATTATCTTAAACAAGGGACACGATCACGCTGTTGATTACTGGGGCTTAGGGATATTAATGTTTGAATTATTGAACGGAACGTAAGTAAATTTATATCCATGTGTATAATTTTTGTGTTACATTTAACTTACTTAAATTTCAGAAGATTATAGTAATCAGGGAAGCGAGCCTTCTGATTGGTTCAGAAGACCCTCCCTGCCTCCCATCAGAATGGCTGATGCCCAACTCCTCGAGAGAGCCTCGTTACGCCTGCTTGGTCTCACGCTATCCACTGACAAGAGGTGACAACAAATACGTGTTGACCATGTTCACCATAGTCTATGAATATAGAATACAGCGCAGTACGTAATCTGTTCAATGAAACAACGTTAAAGATTAACACTCACGAGTCAGACATTTTACTGAATCTGACTATATCGCTAATACCATCAGCACCTGTTCCGTAATTCTTTAGTCTTCGATATCAAAGGCTGGCAGTGAATATTCGGGAAAAAACATGGCCGCCTTTATACACGTCGCATTGAATATTTTGAGCCTTCTGATTGGTTAACCCTTCTATTGGTGAACTATAAAATGAGTCAGCTCATTTTGGCTAGCTCACTAGCACACCAGGGTACCCCAAAATTTCAACAATACATTGAATCAATGGCTTCATCTACCGCAAGGAAAGTTGGTTCTCTGTGTCGTTAGTTAAAACTGAATTCTCAACTTCAAAAACGTTTCCAAAATAATTATGTCCTTAAATTCACATATGAACTCAATACTAATAATAAAATCCCCTTCCTTGACATATTGATAAACACAAATAATAACAAATTTACTATTTCGCCATACAAAAATCCTACAAGCATAAATTCATGTACACTTAACTACAAGAGCGAATGCCCATATTACTACAAAATAGCAATTATAAAGAATCTAATACATCATGTAGAAACTAATTCATCCACAAAACAGATTTTTTTACAGTGAACTAAAAAATATAAAACAGGCACTTATTAATAATAGCTTTCTATACTATATAGTTGATGAACAAATAAGATGCTTTCTTAGAAATCTCAATACTAAGAAAATTGTACATAATACTGCTTCTACTGATCTCAAACATATTAATCTCCTATATCGTAATCAAATGCATACTAATTATAAACAAGATGAAAATATACTAAAAAAATTAGTATATTCTAATATATCAACTACAGATCCTAGCAAAAAAATTAAATTAATCATATACTACACTAAATCTAGTATATCCAACTTAATACTTCGCAATGATTCTTCTCCCCCGGTTAGCGATTTGCGAAAAACCAACATAGTTTATAAATTCAAGTGCCCTTTGGGAGAGTGTATCTCCAACGAATTAAATAATATTTATGTTGGTCACACCACAAACTCGCTTTCACGACGCTTGACACTACATTTGAATGAAAACTCTAACATTTTTAGGCATTTAAAACAACATGACTGCCCGCACACACAATTCCGTAAAATACTTGTCGAAAACATAATTATACTTCGACATGAAAACAATAGACAAAAACTAAAAATCCTTGAAGCATTATACATCAAACAGTTGAAACCCAACCTAAACAAAATCAATTATGGCATCTCTACAAATATTCTTAAATATCTATAATTGGTAACAGAAGCCATTGGTTTATACCAACGGCTTTCCATATTTCATACTTCCCCAATTCACTCTCGTGTGGTCATGTGTGACGTCATGAGATGCGGCGCAATTATCAAATCTAGCGTCTTAGACGCGCGTGTTTATCGTTGCTTAGAAATCATCTATGTAAACATTGACAGACTATCATCACTGTCTTGTCCGTATATTGTTTAATATGTTGTAATTGACATCTTTGATAATGGCTTAAGTAAGCCAAAAGCTTAGATTGTATTAATAAAAAAATATGGATCAATATTGTGAATTTTTTTCTTCGTTTAACGATAATGTTATTAAACTTATCAGATGTTAAAAAAATTTACATAAAATAAATAGACAACACTTGTCTATATTATTTAATAAAACGTGTATATATATATATATATATATATATATATATATATATATATATATATATATATATATATGTATGTATGTATATATTTTGTTATGGTCCAGGTTAGGACCAAGGAAGAACAACACGAACACAAGAGTAGAAATAACGAAGGTATATGACACGAAATAATAATACAAGATGTAGAAGGTGTTAGCATGACTGTCAGTCTGGTTTGGAGTGAACTACTATTCGACACTGTCTCTTGAGAGGCGTAGTATACATAGTGTTAGGTAGAGTTCATTTTGTAGTTATATGTAAGGATCCATGACATATATATATTGAGGATGCCCGATGACAGAATTCCAAAAATTGCGATGTACAGTCAGCTTGAAGGTGGTAAAAGAAATGTCGGACGTCCTTGGCTTAGGTACAAGGACAAGTTGAAGAGTAACTTGTCTGCAGTGAACATACCATACAGGAGTCTTGAAGATGAAGTGAGTGACCGCATAGGATGGAGATCAAGGTGTTTTGAAGGTCTCCAGAAGTTACAGTCTGAAAGCTTAAGCCAACTGAAAGAAAACAGAGAAAAAGCAAAACGACTGGCAGCCGCACCAATGTCTGCAGCGTTAAATCCACATTCATGTTCTATTTGTGGCCTTGTTTGCAAATCCCTTGCTGGACTAAAAAGTCATCAGAGGCAAAAGTATAAATGAATTTTATAAATATGGGTTGTCCGAACCTCATACGTCGAAATCGACGGGAGAGTCCATCCTATATATATATATATATATATATATATATATATATATATATATATATATATATACTGGACTAACCAATCGTTTTCGGCGTATGAGGATACAGCAACTCAGTCTTTTAAGTGTTGCATATCCCCGACGTGGTTGTGTTCTTGGGAGACGCTGTCGAATCACTCATATGTTGTAACTTCTCCCTCATCTCTTTGCCATCTCCCGGCCGGTGATCGCTAGCCGTTTTGGTTCGGATATAAAAAAAATTCAACAAAATGAATTTTAACTTAACTATTTTCTTAAACACATTGGAGTGTACATTTCTAATTAGACGGTGTTCCCCCCCCCACTCCACTGAGGATCAGTTTCCAGATACGAAAAGAATACATCTACATTGTTCGACATGAAAAAAACAAGTCCCGGAAGAACCTTTCTCTATCAATTATTCAGCCAATCAAAATCAACTTCCTTTATTTTGTCTTGTATCTGACTCCTGAGGTCAAACTGAGAAAGTCAGCGCAATAAATACAATTCTCTACAAATAATAGACTGCTAAACTATTATTTAACCCTTAGAAGGGAACATCAAGTCTACTCACACACATGATTTGTTTATAGTGGTGAAGGCTTATGCAGAACCAGCCACACTTTTTGGAAACTGCGAATACATAGAATTGGTATACATAGAGTGTCATAAGGTCCCAAAATGACTCTCCTCATTTTTTTTTTTTTAATTCAGAGCCACCCAAGGTCATAGGGCTCAGTATGTACTTCTATTTATCCATAGCTGTGTAGAGAAGAGATGAATTAATACCTTTCCCAAGGTGCTTATATATATATATATATATATATATATATATATAATGGATTCATTTTTTTTTTCCGAGCAAACAAGTCTGCTTGGGCGGCTAACCATTGGGGAGCCATGATTATCTACGTCCTCAAAGAACACAGAAGAAGAAAACGAAATGACATGATGTAGTCTGGGGTTTTAGAAATTCCGGAAGCTTTAAGAAATTCTTTCTGATATCATTAAGCTGTATTTGATAACATAAAGCGTTCATTGGTTTCAGACAGTTTATGATAATGCCTTTTATGTATTTTTTTTTTCATTAACTTGGTTAAGCCAGATATTGTTGCACTAACTTTTGACGTAAATTTATAGTTACGTAAACTGAAAAGTTTTTATCTTTCTCAGCAAATAACTAATCTTGCTCCCGTCTGTAAACTTTCAGGAAATTGACTATTTTCATTAAAAGAATTCTGCAAAGAACAGGATAAATGATAATTTTATGGTGGAATATCTGTTGAATACAGTGGCTGGGTGAAAAGTTCCTCGCCAAACTATAGCAATTTTCAGGCGGTCATCAAAGGATATATGCTGTCTAGCGTTATCCTGATGGAATCTTGCTTTTTTTTCGAACGTTTCTCGTCAATTGATCTAAATAGGATCAGTGCCAATTCGAACTATACGTTTACTTCTTAGAAAAGGAACAAAAGCAAACAGGTTGTTTCCAGAGAAAGGCATTGTCATTTGGGATAAAGATAGATATTTACTTGCCTCCATGCTGACTTGCGTTCCACATTGTTGAAATATACTCACTATTCATTGACAGTTACATATTGTCTCAAAAACGTGACATTTAAATGCGGAATATTGATTCATATGTCAACACTATGTCTATAAACTCTCTATCCCTGATAATGTACTTCATACCCAATAAATTTCGCAAATTCTAACAATAATTATATATATATATGTATATATACGTAAAAATCCGTGGTAACTACTCTAATATTAATATTAAAACTGTTCCACATAAGAGTGCTCAATCAATGTATGAATTACAAGTAGATAAAACACAATACTTGATATTGAGTTTATCTACTTGCAATTCACACACACACACACACACACACACACACACACACACACACACACACACATATATATATATATATATATATATATATTACATTAAAATTAAACTCAATTGTACCCTATTTTTATGCCCAATTCGCTCCTCGGGATAAATTTCCTGAAGCTTGTCAATACTAAAATACTTGTCAATACTAAAACGTTTAATAATACTAAAACGTTTGATAAATCGTTTTAGTATTTACAAGTTCCAGGGAATTTATCCCGAGGGGCGAAATGGCCATAAAAGTGGGGTACAACTGAGTTTCATTTCTATTCTCCATAATAAATATAATGAGCTCTCTGTTGTGCATCAGTTATAAAATTTTATATTATTAGGATTCACTTGGAGTACTAACCCATGGTTATATATATATATATATATATATATATATATATATATATAAAGAGAGAGAGGAGAAGAGAGAGAGGTGTTATATCAATATTTCCATAGCTTGACATGGAATTATTTATGGAATTGTGATTTGAAATTTTGATTGTTTTATGTTTGATCTGTGTGGTTAATATTTACCATGGAAGTAAGGGCATTGACAAGCTAGCGAATTATGTAGTAAAATCATTGTCGGCGTGTGAAATATATGATGATTTTTTTTTTTTTTGTAGACCTCCATTTTCTGGACATGATCCTATGAAAACATACAACGTTATTTTAAAAGGAATTGATGTTATCGAGTTTCCGAAACGTTTCAGTCGAAATTCCATTTTAATAATCAAGAAATTGTGTCGCGAAAATCCATCTGAGCGGTTGGGATACGGTAAAAATGGATTGTCAGACATCAAGAAAAACAAGTAAGTAAAAACTTATGACACTTTGTATTTCTGATTTGATTTATTTGTGCATATGCATTTCATTTCATATAAAGACGTATATATATGTCTATATTTCTGAGATGAGGTATTATGTACATTATTTACATTATTCGGACTATTGTCCTCATCTTTGGCGCCACATTTATCACAACGTTTCGGCCGTTGTACGCTCCTGCCTTCTTCAGGTGGTTGGAATGTCGAACTGGACCCTTTATTTCGTTCACTGCAGTGGACTGTTCTAGTTCCACGTGCCATGTTTGATGGATGTCAGTTATCTCCTGTTAATAGTGACAGGACCCAAAGAGTGTGAGTTCAATACCCGGTTAAGGCAGTGGAGAACTTTCAGAGGGAGAATTAACAGGAGCTAACTGATAACTGATATCCATCAAACATGGCACGTGGAACTAGAACAGTCTACCCCAGTGAGCGAAATAAAGGGTTCAGTTCGGCATTCCAACCACCTGAAGAAGGCCGGAGCGTACAACGGCCGAAACGTTGTGATAAATATGGCGACAAAGATGAGGACAATAGTCCGAATAATGTAAATAATGTGCATAATACCTCATCTCAGAAATATAGACAAAAACAAAATGATAATTTAAATTCTCCAAGGAGTCTTGCTTTTAACTAATATTACTATAAAAAGACTGAAATTACAATTTGTCGAAATTTCATAAAATTAAGTGGAGATAACATGTAAAATATTTTTATCAATATTTTCTAAAACAAAAAATTCAAAAATAATTTCATTCATTTGTAAATATGTCCTGATGATTTTGGGCAATTATTTGATTTTTGCAAGAATTTCCAAAACATTTTGATTTTACCGCAAAAAGACGCTAAATTTTCCATAGTAATCTTTGGCTCAGAGCTGATGCAAAAAAAAAAAAAAAATTAACCAGAATTTCGAACGTCCCAGAAAGGATTAAAACATTTAATAAATTAATCAAAGATACTTTGGCCTCTCCTCTTAATAATAATGTAAAGATTTTAAAAATAAAACTTTGTTTTTCTCAAGTTTGAAGCCTTTTTCATTATGCTATGCTCTTTTTTAATGAAAATGTGGAGGTACCGATATTATAGCATATGTTACACACATATACGTATATATTTATCTCTCAACATATCTATCTATCTGTCTATCTATCAATATATATATGTGTGTGTGTCAGTATGTGTGAAAAACAACTTCCATTATTTACTCCTCACCTTTAAAGACAATGTTTTATAATTTATCATGTACGTTATCTATGTTATATCTTCTGGTGCTAAAAGAGACAGAGCCATTGACAAAGGACTGACCGAAGCAAAGAAATACTTTTTGCTGGCCGCACAATTTCTATTTTTTTTTAGAGAGAAACAGGAGCTTTAGAAATTATACAAACATACAAGTCTGAAAAACGTAGGAAATATGAAACAAGTAAAAACAAGGCGAAAAATAGACATCATATGAAAAAGAATCAATCGAAAAGTAAAAAAATAAAAGAAATATTTTAAAATAAAATAAGAAGAGTAAAAATCATGGTATATCCTTTGAAGTACACCTTGGCTTGAAACTAAAAGTGAATAAATAAAAGAAAGAGAGAGAGTGAGAGAAAGAGTGAGAGAAAGAAAGAGAGGGGGAGATTTTAAAGATGCCAAAATAAAAAGCGTTCAAATTGAACGCTCCAAGAACTGCAGGACGACTCTCTCCGCGCGATTCAACGCTCCTAGTGCGCTCAGACTGTCCTCTGCGAGTGTGTGATGGTCGTCGTCGCGGACTGCGGACGCGTAGCTGCGGTAAGCGGTCACAGTGAACGCTTTAAGTCTTCGACTGCAGGACGACTCTCTCCGCGCGATCAACGCTCCCAGAGACTGTCCTCTGCGGGGGGTGTGTGATGGTCGTCGTCGCGGACTGCGGACGCGTAGCTGCGGTAAGCGGTCACAGTGAACGCTTTAAGTCTTGACTGCAGGACGACTCTCTCCGCGCGATTCAACGCTCCTAGTGCGCTCAGACTGTCCTCTGCGAGTGTGTGGGGTCGTCGTCGCGGACTGCGGACGCGTAGCCGCGGTAAGCGGTCACAGTGAACGCTTTAAGTCTTCGACTGCAGGACGACTCTCTCCGCGCGATTCAACGCTCCTAGTGCGCTCAGACTGTCCTCTGCGAGTGTGTGGGGTCGTCGTCGCGGACTGCGGACGCGTAGCTGCGGTAAGCGGTCACAGTGAACGCTTTAAGTCTTCGACTGCAGGACGACTCTCCGCGCGATTCAACGCTCCTAGTGCGCTCAGACTGTCCTCTGCGAGTGTGTGATGGTCGTCGTCGCGGACTGCGGACGCGTAGCCGCGGTAAGCGGTCACATGAACGCTTTAAGTCTTGACTGCAGGACGACTCTCTCCGCGCGATTCAACGCTCCTAGTGCGCTCAGACTGTCCTCTGCGAGTGTGATGGTCGTCGTCGCGGACTGCGGACGCGTAGCCGCGGTAAGCGGTCTGATGAACGCTTTAAGTCTTCGACTGCAGGACGACTCTCTCCCGCGCGATTCAACGCTCCTAGTGCGCTCAGACTGTCCTCTGCGAGTGTGTGGGGTCGTCGTCGCGGACTGCGGACGCGTAGCCGCGGTAAGCGGTCACAGTGAACGCTTTAAGTCTTCGACTGCAGGACGACTCTCTCCGCGCGATTCAACGCTCCTAGTGCGCTCAGACTGTCCTCTGCGAGTGTGTGGGGGTCGTCGTCGCGGACTGCGGACGCGTAGCTGCGGTAAGCGGTCACAGTGAACGCTCTAAGTCTTCGACTGCAAGACGACTCTCCGCGCGATTCAACGCCCCTCCCGCGCGCAGGCTGTCCTCAGTGTAGTGTCCTGTTCATTTTGTCTGCAATTATCTTTATCTACTTTTTTTCTAGAATTATTTTCTTTCTGACTTCTAAGTCTCGTTTAACTATTTCTTTTGAAATATTTTGTCCTCGTGCTATTGTTATGTTCTTAATACATAAAAATCAACACAGACAAGACACAACAAACTGACAAAGAACTGTCTTTTTTTTGCGAAGACAGAGACGAAACGGCCTAACTGTATGTCTAGTAATAACCAAATGCTGGAGAAATTCTAGCAATGAAATAAGGACTAATCGTGGCATCTAGTCTGTAACATTGTCTACAGAGGAGCCCCTTGTCTGCTACTTAAACACTGGCTGATAGAAAATAGCAGGAAATAACCAAAACAACATTCAGTCCGCATTCATCAAAGTTTGCGGTAACGCCTATGTATAAAATCAACACAGAAGAGAAGACACGTACGTAAATATGACTGGGTAAGAAAAGTAGCTCACAAAAACTTAATGCATTTGTTAATATTATTTATTATAACCTAAGGTAATCTCAAAAGACAACACAAAGAATATCAAGGATAATGTGGAGAAAATAAAAATAAATTAAGAATAAAAAGCTGTAGTTTTGTGTGTTCGTTAGTTAAGTGCATTTCAACTCCTTACGGATCATTTAATGCAGAAATTGAATTTTCTTGGGATTTTTGATGTAATAAATATATGGTATAGGTCATTCTGCTTTCAAAATCAATTACATGGTAGAATCGAGAGTAGAGAGAGAACGGGGGGAATCAAAAGTAGATAGAGAGAGTGGGAGAGAATCAGGAGAGAGAGCGGGAGAGAATCGGGAGTAGAGATAGAGAGAGCGAATCGGGAATAGAGAGCGAATCGGGAGTAGAGAGCGAATCGGGAGTAGAGAGGGAGAGGGAGTGGAGAAGGAGAGGGAGTAGAGGAAGCGAGAGTAGAGAAAAAGAGCGGGAGAGAATCAGGAGTAGAGAGAGAGGGGTGATAATCGGAATTAGAGAGAGGAGAAGAGAATCGGGACGTTGCTTAACTTGCTTGATCGTACGGAAACTTAATTATATGTTTTTACTTGTACATTGTGAATAAAATGATTCTTAGAGTCAAAGTGAAACGAACCAATTCCTGTTGAAGTTGTGTGGTCGGTTTTAATTTTGTTTGCTTTATTTGAGTTGCCTTGGATTCTTGTCCAGTTGAAAATGCCAGTACTTTTATCCTCCCATGTGCACATATTGTCTTCAAAAACGCAAGAGCCTGCAAAAGAAATATATATATATTTACACAGGAACAAAAAAAAAATGTATAAAAACGAATCAAAATGAAAATTTATTAATTTGTTTGTTTAACGGCATATCAACTCCTTTATCATTTAATACCCAAATTTAATTTTCTTGAGAACTTGAGCAATTCCCTCTTTTTACAAAAATCTGTTCCTTGTACTTTTTTAAAAAATCTATTGCCGGTATATATATATGTTTTTGTTTTTTTTACTATGAAAAGGTGTTTTTATACTTTCAGTTTTGTTTCCCGAGTTTCCGAGTTCAATGTTAACATAAAACACTATTTAATTACAACCGCAAATAAATACTTAACAAGAAGTAAAAGTCAACAAAAAGATAATTAACCATTTCAGTGAATACCTTATAGTCGCGCGGCTTGGCTTAACGTCCGGTAAATCCTAAAATCAAAGCCCAAATCATCAACGCACAATAATTCACACTAATTCGACTGGATAGTTCCACTCAATAATCACTGCAGTCAGTATCCTGACATCGCTATTTATACACCTGGCGGAAAACATATTCATAGCTAGCAGCATGGCCCACGTTGCCCGTGCTTGATTCAAAAATCGTTCGACTCATACAGCAATCGCTATCACTTGACTTAAAACATTCTTGCCCTTCCTTGTCTTTAAAGGAGTTTGCCGTGCTGATGTTGCTACATGCCTTACTTCTTGCCTATCTCACTCTGCGATTTTTTCTAAGCTCTATACTAAACATTAAATCTGTTACGAAAAAAGAACTAAACAAAATGAACACAAAACGATCAGCTTTAAAAAAGAACTCGTAACTGGAAAAACCGAATGAAAAAAGAATGTTAACAACAAATACTTTTTCACATCCATCCCAGTTCTGCGGAATCAGAATCAACGTTGAGTTTAAGCAGACGAATGAGCCAATTGGAGTAAAGTGCCATGTAGATTTAATTTTTTCCCACTTGTGACGAATGCAGCTATCGATTTTTTTTTGCATGCTAGCATGCTAGTTAACATTCGTGTCAGTCAGCAGTTGGCTCTCACGCTGGCCAATAGAATCTTCATGCCTATTCGTGGCAACCAGCTATAGGCTCTAACTCTGGCCAGTAGAAAATGGCCGCAAACTACATGAAAAGTGCTGTAGAAGCATGAAAAAATTGATTATTTCCACTATCGATGGGAGTTGGGAAATGCAATGTCAATCTGGGCCTTCCCGCTAACTTGGAGCATGTGCATGTAAATTTTGGTGCAAATCCGTCGAAAATTGCGGCCGTGCATTCGTTACACACACACACATACACACACACACACACACACACATACTGCTTTTATAGATAGAGATTCCAGAGTCTCACGCTTAAACCTCAGTGTCGGTAGGTACTCATTTTCTTCCTATATGACAAAGTGATAACATCCCGGGTCATAGTGGATATGGAAACAACAGCAATTAAGAAGTGCTTCCACATTTCTAAAAACCTTCCGATCAGAGACCTTGCTGCCAGATGTAGTTTATTGTCATACCCAGGACGGAGAAGGCTGTACTAATCTCGAAATTTTTTGTTTCTTTTTTTAAACAGTTTCTATATCTTCACCGCTCCAAACTTTAGTAATCTTTTACTCAATACAGTCAAGGTAAAACTTAATTTCCTCAACTGAAAACAGGTATAGGATTTCAGCATGTTTTTTTTTTTAATTAAAGATTGACATTGATAGAGGTTTCCCGATAACTGAAATAAAATAAAACGCAGAATCAAGTACCATTCATAAGGAGATTTTTCTTTTAGCATTCTTGGACCCAAACGTAAACTTCTATTTACCTGCTTTGATATCGAAATTTAAATTTTGTCGTCTGTTCTGTCTAATATGAAAGACATGAAATATGATAAAATGACTTACTGCTCAGTCACATACATTTTCCCAGCTAAACAATCAGAGTAACGGTTCTGTCACCGATACCTAAAAAACAATTCCCGACTGCATACTCTGTTGCGGGTAAAACTCATCAACAAAAAAATAAAAATCAGGTTACTTACTAGTCAACCGTTTGCAACGCAGGTTAAATCTATAAACTTTCTCTAAAACTTCGCCGTTGCTCACATGTTCGGTCCATAGAAATTTGACTTTCCACTTCTTCTTCTATGTGCCTTGACCTTCAGAATGTTGGCAATCATGGCGCTCCACGATGTCCTCTGCTTTGTAGCTCTTACTAAATTTCGACATTAAATAACCAAGTTGCAATGTTGTAGAATCAACCATCACAACTCATTTTTTTTGTATGACATCAAATCTATTCTGTAAACCTCTAAACTTACGTGCCGTTTCAGAATATGTCATTTAAAGCTAAGCTTGAAATCCCTTGAGATTTTCAAATAGAAAATTACTTAAAAGATGTTTACACAATACTAAAACCTAATGAAGAATTCAAAAAGAAATAGCGGTCATAAAAAAGAATTTTTTTAAATAGCTGAACTTTGTTTATCCGTCTAGACAGACACTAACCTGAACTCAAGAAATCTATAGAGATTAAAAGAGATTAAAAGTTCGCATATATATAAAAAAAAAAATATCAGTATCTGTCTATATTTCTGAGATGAGGTATTATATACACTATTTACATTATGCGGACTATTGTTCCTATCTTTTTTGCCATATTTATCACAACGTTTCGGCCGTTATTCGCTCCGGCCTTCTTCAGGCACTTGGAATGTCGGACTGAACCCTTTATTTCAACCGACTGTAGTACTGACTGATCGGTTATTGAATGCCGAATGTTTCCTTATATGGAAACGGCTAATATTGCCATTACCATTATAACTTACAAAAGCTTGTTAGTTATGTTTCATGCATGACACCCGCTTAGGTGATCATGTATCTTTCGATACATGAATGACGAGGCAGATTTTTTCCCGCTGTAGGTTGCCATTTCTTTCTGCGGTAGACCAGTTGCCATCCAAGGCTATAGAACCAGGTCTGTCCTGCTGTTTACCCATAGCTGGGGGGAGAAGAAGAGGATGCATACCTTTCCCAAGGGTATTAGCACATAAGTGAATGTAATGGATTCGACTGGAGTTCCTCAATCCGAGCCGTTATCTATTACTCCACCACCTAGGTAGGTTATTCGCCGCTTTTCTCTGTAGCTCTTGCATTCAATATATCTTGTGAGTGGCAAATTTTTGAAAGAGATGGCAAAAAAACAACATTTATTAGAAGCTACAAAGGAGAGGAAACTATGAAGAACCATGATTGTCAACGTCCTGAAAGTACACGGCACATAGAAGAATAAGTGACATTTATCAAATGCCGTATATGTCGGCATACAAGCCGACCTTTTAAAAATCACCCCAAAAATAAAAGGCCGTCTTATACTCCATGTATAAAATGTGAACCTTAAATCCTGTGATTTATGCTAAGTTGTTAGCATGGGAGATTTTTTTTTATGGTAGGCTAACCCCTGCTCCTTTTTTTCGATGATGTTAAATAAAAACACAACTGGATGTATGCCTCAACAAACTGTTTAAAGACCGCGTTCGAGAACAGTGGAATGAAAGGATGGTTAACGAAGTCATTCAAGGCTGCCGTAATATTCCACTGAAAACACAACACCCTCTCATGAGGTATTGTAGATTGTGGTAGTTAACTGACAATATCTCCCCGCTGATTTTTTTTTCATAAGAATTTGAGTGAAAAGAAAGTATATTCTTACTGAATTTATTTAATAAATTCAATACAATACATATTAAAATACGATTTGGTGGGATCGACTTGTACGGCGAATATAGTCCGAAACCTACATTATAAGTTGAAAATTTGGAGGCCGTCTTATACTCCCAGTCGCCTTGTATGCCAACAAATACGGTATGTATTATGGATTAAAATAAAATCAGATTGGAAAGCACCGGTACCCGTCTGATGTTAATCAATTATGTGACCGGTTACAATCGCCCGATGTTCTTCAGCAGTCACCTATTTGCAAGCTACTTGTAGCATTGTAGCTGACTACCAATATCTTAAAACCGAAAACACCACAGATCAAATAGGATATCATAAAACATGAAACCAAAATAGCAGACCCCTACCCCCACCCCACAAAAGGCAACACATTTCACTCAAACTGGCACCTTGCCTAAAATTGCTAATGATGATAATGGCTCGAAAACAGAACCTGAATGTGCCATTCTTAGGTCTCAGATGAACATTCTCCTATTGCCATTTCGTTCGTGGTTTGTCGATCGATCGTCCTACATTTAACTGCGTTACCTCGATCTCTGCTGTGAATGCCAACTGTAAGGATTAGACTTGGGGGAGGTATCAAAACGACCCGCTGAAAAATGGTATCGCCAAGGCAAACGAAACTTTCTTTTCCAAACATTCTTTACTTTCATACGACTCTGCGATCTAGAAAGTGCATTCAGAACAATCATCTCTCCTACCAAGTTTTACTTTGAATACGAAAAGACTGACATATGGACAAGGAATCAAAAAATCAACGACTGAGTCAATTATAAATCAACTTCTCCCTGTGCACGTTCCTATTGCAGGATATCGCGACAAAAATGCCCAGTTACTGGGATGCAGCGGCCATTAGTGTATAAAAACGTGTTTGTGGGATGGTTGGAACACAGATTTAGAAATTAATAATAATTTTATGCAGAATAAGAGAGCTCTTATTTTTTTTACAAATAATATTAGGAATAGTATGTGCTCATTTTAAACGTATTACTAAACATTTTTATGGTAAAATTAATGCGAATAATTTTTTCTGTATGAATTTATAGAAAAACACGAAAATAGTGTTTTCCAATGGCCAGGAATCAATGCATGTTTTACTGAGGGGATAATGACATACAGAAGTGCATTGCTAAGGATTTTAAACGAATAATTATCAGTGGCTAGTAATTAATGGGAGCTTTATTAACAGATTGAAGTAAATATATGCGTAATATAGGAAGGTCAATAGCCCCGTAGTCTAATAATTTGATCTGTTGTTTAATAGCATATGAACAACTTATGGGTCATTTATTGCCGAAATTTAATTTTCTTGGGAGCTTTGAACTAATATGATATATGTTATTTTGTTTTGCCAATTTAATACATGGTAGCTGATACTCACGTTTTGTGCATACATATGTTTGTGAGAACATTATTACTAGAGACAATGATATGTGTGTTTTATGTCGTAGTTTTGTTGAAGTTATATTTTGGAATACACTTTGATTTCTTTAAAAGTTTATAGGATATTTGTCTATATTTCTGAGATGATGCATTATGTACATTATTTACATTATTCGGACTATTGTCCTCATCTTTGTCGCCATATTTATTACAACACTTCGGCCATTGTACGCTCCGGCCTTCTTCAGGTGGTTGGAATGTCGAACTGAACCCTTTATTTCGCTCACATGGCACAGTGGATAAAGGCGTTGGTTAGATCCAGTGACAGGACCCAAAGAGTGTGAGTTCAATACCCGGTTAAGGCAGTGGAGAACTTTCAGAAGGAAATTAACAGGAGATAACTGATAACTGACATCCATTATACATGCCACGTGGAATTAGAACAGTCTACCCCAGTAAGCGATATAAAGGGTTCAGTTCGACATAATATAATATAAATATGTATGTGTGTGTGTGTGAAGCTTACGTCTATATCATACAAAAGAAACTCAAAATAGGTAAGTCTCATTGTTCACGCCATTTTCTTTATATACGTGGGTATTTTATTTTAATTTTGGCGTGTTTTTGAGGATAGTGGTTGCCTCAGAACACTCATTTTGGAAGGGGTGGTACTCATCGCCAGTGTCTATATTAAAAATAAAAAGGCGCTGACCTATTCTGAGACTCTAAAGATTTAATAACAGTGAATTTTTTAGTAACCACCCTGTTTGTTACATATTTTAATAAGATCCAGAAAAAACGTAATATATACACTGTATATATATATATATATATATATATATATATATATATATATATAGAGAGAGAGAGAGAGAGAGAGAAGAGAGTGAGAGATAGTGAATATGGGCAATAATCCCTCTTTTATACAAGGTTTGGTGGTTGATTTTTTATATAATTTCTCATGTGTTCGTATATGTTTTTATTTTTCCGCCATAAATTATATAAAAATTGTCCGAATGTTTACCAAGCGCTTTCGGCAATACTTTTCTGCATTATCAAGAATGGATTTTATTTTACCTTTAACTGAGAATATCCATTGTTTTATGTATATATGTAAAATTAAAGTCATGTTGTATTCATAAAATTCATCCTTGAAGGAATATATTTTTGCATATATATATATATATATATATATATTTAGTTGGATTGCTGTGTGTTTGTCAAACAAACTTACACCAATCCAACTAAATATTTTATTCTATCACTTTTCAATCACAGTTCAATTTATATTACATGAATCATTCATACAAAAAACAGATTAGTGAAGTTAATGATATAAATGGTGAGAATACATCCTCGCAAACAAATTTATTAAAATTACATTAACCCACGAACCTCTAGATGAATGTTGTGATCCCTGTTTTTAATAAATTCAACTTGTATAAGGTATTTTTTGCAAGTACTTTCATCTGTTCATACTGACATCATCAGGCATGGAAAATGATTTGTTTTTTTTTAGTACATCCATATAATAACGGGACACGAAAGATTAGATGTGAATCGAAATATGTTTTTTTAGAAATGTGTTATTGTTAACTGTAAGAAATTCTGGAGCGTGCGGTCTAAGGTTGAATTTTTTGAAAATTTAAAAGAGAGTGCGTTTTTTTTTTACTAATATGGTAATTGGAGAATTCTTTTGTTGTAGTAGCTTTTTTCAGTCGATGTGGCATGAACTAAATTGTTCAATAAATAGAGCAATGTCGCAGCTATTATCCCAGAATTTGCACGTCGGATAAGTTCTTTTTAAATCAAATATGTCGTGCAGTTCAATTTATATTGCATGAATCATTCATACAAAAGACAGATTAGTGAAGTTAATGATATAAATGGCAAGAATACATCTTCGAAAACCAATTCATTAAAATTACATTAACCCACGAACCTCCAGATGAATGTTGTGATCCCTGTTTTTAATAAATACAACTTGTATAAGGTCTTTTTTTTTTTTTGCTAGTACTTTCATCTGTTCATACAAACATCAGGTAAAAAAAGAAATCAATTTCCATGCCTGATGATGGCCATTTTTACGACCCTAATGAAATAAACATTACCTTATGAAATTTTGGTATTTGTGTCTTTTATAATAAGAATTATTGCACCGTTTCTAACATACAGCTCTCCCTGGATTTATATCCCTTTGGAAATATCTATACTGATCACTAATATTATTATATATATATATATATATATATATATATATATATATATATATATATATATATATATATATATATATATGAATTACAATTAATGAGATCCAAACAATTTACCTCATACAGCTGATCATTTCGTCCATGGGAAAGAAGTAGCTTTTCCCTGGACTTATTAATGCAAATACATTTTTGTAGTAAATTAAATTATTTGGAATTCATTAATACTGTAATAAAATTATATATATATATATATAAATATATATATATATATATATATATATATATATATATATTTGAATAAAAACAGACCACGTTAAGATTCCATGTAATAAGCTATTTCACCATAACCCCTTTAACAGGGTTCTGGATCATCAGACTTTCCTTGCAAAAACTGAAATGAAAAATGAAAAGCTAAATTTCACCCAGTTCTAGATCCACTTAACTTAAAGAGTTACTGTTAAAATGGTTATGATATGGGAATGAATGAAAGATGAAGTGGCAGGAATTGAAACTTATGGTAATAAATTAATTTTGTGTTTAATACTTTAATCTATTGCTTTTTTTTCTAGATGGTTTCAAGGTTTCGATTGGGATGGCTTGAAGAAACAAAAATTGAATCCACCAATTATTCCAAAGGTAAGTATTTACCAGACCTTCCACTAAGGCAAGATGTGACACAATGTCGATTTTTTATGTGGGGAGCGCCATACACATACATATGTTTTCTGACGTACGGTGGCCGTTAATAATTAAGTATAACTCAAGACTTCAATGTTAAGTTAAAACAGTATTTATTTACAACCTTAAATAAATACTTAACAAAAACAAAGAATTAAAACTCAACCAAAGATAACCATTTCACTAAATACCTTGCGGCTCGGCTTAACGTCCGATAAATCCTAAAATCAAAACCCAAACCATCGACGCACAGTAATTCACACGAATTCAACTGAATAGTTCCACTCAATAATCAGCGAATAATCACTGCAGTCAGTAGCCTGACATCTCTATTTATACACCTGGTGGTTAAACATATATGCATAAGTCCAGAGTGTCACGGTTGAATCTCGGTAACAGTAGATACTCATTTTCTTCCTATATGACAAAGTGATACCATCCAGAGTCATGATGGACCGGGGAACAACGGAAATTAAGAAGTGGTTCCACACTTCTCAAAACCTCCCGATCAGAGGCCTTGCTGCCGGATGTAGTTTATTGTCATACCCAGGACGGAAAACGCTGTACTAATCTTGAAACCCTTTCTTCCAATATAACAATATGCATATGGGCAAAGGTCAAAAATTACTTACAACGTCATAACTTTAAAATTCAGCAACTTCTTAAAATACAGAATCTTGGTCAGGCTGAAAACTTTTGAGCTGACATGTTCTCCACCCGAACAAGAAATTAATCCGCCCCCCCAAATCGAATGTTTGATCATTTCTACACGTGATAAGAAATCGGCAAAACTACATTCGAATTTCAAGGCGTCTAATATTCGCTTAACCGCGATTTTCCCTCTGTTTTCCGATATTGTCATCCATAAGAATCCTGTGTTTTTTTTTGTTTGTTTGTTTGTTTTATTTGTTTTTTATCAGCATTGTATCAACGCAGTTTTCCAGCTGTTTTTGTCGGAATCAGATGTGAGTAATGCAGCGTCATTGTCTCGTGCGTAATTCAATCGCAGTCCGATATCTTTGCAGATTTCTCCATCGTGCCTCCCTAAACAAAATTTAGCGTCAAAATCTCAGCTTATTTCCAGCTTTAAAATCGAAAAGGGTGACATTATTACTTGCTGGGACATTTGTCAAGAGTTTTATCTCTTCTTAGTTAGCTTGAAGGTTTGAAGAGTTCACGCTGAAGAACTTGGTATGTGGTTTAAAGTGAAATAAATATTTTATACGTTAGTATATACGAGTGGCCAATGGCCCATATATGTAACGTATGCACTGAACGTGTTAGTTTTTTTTTTTTTTTTTCCAGGGTAAATTATTTTTTACCATCCTCTTTGCGCGCATGATATATATTTTTAAAATCGCCCATGCCTTCATTTCTTAAGTTAAACTGTGAGCAAGCTTTTGTTTACTAAAGTAGTGTAAGCAGAGAAGGCCCTTGTTTCCGTATATGTTGTGGTAAATAGTCCACAATAGCCTCTAAAGAGGCTATTGTGGACTCTTCCATTTACTATAAAGTAGTAGGAAAAGTAAGCCTCGGCGGGGGGGGGGATAGTGATATAGACAGAACGCCGGTCAACCGACACACACTCCCAAGACATGTAACGCACTTCTGTTGTATTTACTGTTCAATACACTATCTGCAACCTCTTGTTTTGATATTTCTTAACCAATTACTTAGTCACAACAGTATATCATTCCCACGCCATTTCTATACACAGAACATGGAATAAGCGAATGAAAGAATGTTGAGTCGGTTACCGTTCAATGAATGAAAAAGAAGAGATGAAAAAAATAAGTAGAGGTTGCAGTTTTTTCTTGTTCTCCAAATAAAAATAGATTGCAAAATTTGGTTTCCATTTCTTTTTGAAGATGATGAAGCGATCGATGAATTTACAATAACAAAAAAAATTGCAAAATTGAATTATTTTACAAATAAGTTTTAATTATGCCATTATTACTTAATTACATTATTTTCTTATATTTCACGCGTATCCATTTAACGGCCATCATGGGCCGTATGCTGCGGTTTCAGAGTTTACCTTCGTTACTGGTATATACTAATAAACACTGAGGCACCTCGACGTGGTGCAATAGTTAGAAAGCTTGTCTTGCTAGATCATTTACGACTGAGTAATGAGTTCGATCCTCACTGGGTGCCCCTTACTTTTGACCTTGTGCCTTATCCAAGCTACGCTTGGAAAATCACTATACTAATAAACACTGTGGATGCCTTAAACCGTAGAGAGGGCCGAACTCCATATATACGATTTTTCTGACATGCACATATCTATGGTAAATATTAATTTATAATTTAGGCATACTTATAGATAAACAAGAATAATTAATTTAAAACAAGGACAAACATTAGAATGGCTGATTCCTAACTCCACGAGAGTGCCTCGTTACGCCTGCTTGGTCTCACGATGTCCACTGATATAAGGTGGAATAAATACATTGAATCAATAGCTTCATCGACCGCAAAGAAAGTCATGCCAGAAACTTTTTTCTCGTCTGAGTCCATCTTTCAAATCTATAAATCAACCATCCGCCCTTGCATGGAATATGGCTGCCATATATGAACTGATGCTCCGCTGTACGTCTCGAGGTCCTCGGCAAAATCCAGAGAAGGGTATGCAATGTGATAGGTCCTGATGTTGCATCTAGTCTACAATCGCTATCCCACAGACGTGCCGTGGCTTCCCTCTGTCTCTTCTACAAGTATTTTCACGGCAACTGTCCCAACGAGCTACTTTCGATGGTTCCCAGACTGCATGAATTTAAGCGAGCTACTAGGCTGTCAAAACGCTTAAATGTACCGTCTCTTCTACTCAAACAGATTCTCCTCTCCCACTTCCCGTCTGTAGAACTACCTTACCCTTACTTGCTTCCCCGACGATTATAATCTTCAAATATTCAAGTGTAATGTCAATCGACATCTGGCACCCTAAGCTTGTTCCCCGTCCTTCTCTGTATCCTTTCCTCAAACACGCCTCTTTAATCTTGTTCTCAATCCTCTGTAACTCCTTGCGTGCTAGTGACACTCCCGACTTGCTTGGGGTGAATTGGTTTAAAAAAATACACTGCCATAAAGAAAATATATGAAACGTAAAGAAAATTATTATAGTAGATCTTATAAAACGCTGGCATGTTTTTCTTTCCGTATTCTGTATTTGGAAAAGCTTGTATCGATGTATGTTCAGTACCGGCTTTTCATAATGGATAATTTTTTCACGTTCTAATGAATGCTCAGTACATTGTCATCCGTTTTGCACTTAAAAGCATAATGAAAAAAATTACGGTAATGGATAACAACGCACAACTTTGTATAAATACTTGTACCCCTTAATAACATATAGTTTTGTACTACTTGCATCCCTGAAGATGATCTTGGGAAATGAAAATAAAAGAAATTTAAACAGTTATAGCAGCGTTCTCTCATTCCCTAATATCAGTACACGGAATGTTATTCGTGGGTATGAACAGAATTTGTTAAAAATTAGCAGACATAATATATGTAATTTATTCAATCAAACATGCCTAAAAGAGAATTTACTACCTAAATACACACACACACACACACACACACACATATATATATATATATATATATATATATATATATATATATATATAAAACCTAGAGAATTAAACCTACCAGGTTTCACCTAAGCGGATCGTCAGTGAAGGCCAGCCTTCTATGACGATCCGCTTAGGTGAAACCTTGGTAGGTTTGTCTGGATCTCTAGGTTTTAGCTAGGTCTGCTCTACTCATTGTATTGAGCACTTTATTTAGTGGCATTGGGTTTTTTTCTTTGGGCCTTGAACTCATATGCTGGACGATTATTTTCAGTTAACGTACATGTTCTTGGTTATTTCTTTTTTATATACCTTTTTTCCCTTTGGTGTTGGCTTGTTTATTTGCAAATCAATATACTGAAGGTTTTCCGAGCGAGTATAGTTTCTTATACTCATAAGATTTCTATTAATATATATATATATATATATATATATATATATATATATATATATATATATGTATGTATGTATGTATGTATTTCAGAGTGTGTCTGTAAGGGAAAAAATGTTTCGCGTTTCGTTCGCTGAGGGACTTCATCAAGGCAAATGTCTTGATAAATCCCTCAAAGAAAGAAGCGCGTCGGCTAATAATAGTTTTTCCACTTGTCTTTTTCTTCATACATATATCTGTGTCATAAATGTATATATCCATTTTTATCTTTTACAGGTCCGATCCCAGTGTGATCACAGCAATTTTGACCAATATACGAAAGACACTGAAGTGCCACCTGATGAGACGTCAGGATGGGATATTGATTTTTAGGGAAGAGACTCAGGAGGTTATTTAATCAGGCGTCGATAACCATGTATTTAATGAAAAAAAATATAACATTTCTCTCTGGATTTTTTAAACTCCACAAGACGTGGCTGCAAGCCTATAATAGACTGAACAAGGACGAGTGTGTATAAAAAAAACGTATGTACCTACATTAACGTATTTATGTAGTACTTTCATTTGCAACAACATATATATATATATATATATATATATATATATATATATATATATATATATATATATATATATATAGTACACACAGTCATGTATATTTGTGTATGATGGTCGCAGCCATATGTCCCTGCTGGAATTATTAAGAATATTTTTAGCTCGCTCTCTTCAGAATTCTGCAGTGGGTGGGGCTCATCATGACGAAATGTGATATTTTGGGGAAACTAACATTAATGTCTTTGAGACGCATGTATTAATTTCATATATAAAGAAATTATGTCACCTCAGTGAAGGCTATCAACGCTTACAAATGCACTCACTTTTTACACTGTACAAAAAAATCTCGTTGGGAAAAAATGTTTTTGTGTGCAAATTTCCCGTGGTATACTTTTTAGGATCGTAATTATTGCTTTTAAAGTTGAAAATCTCATCGGCTTCTTTTTTTTTTTTTTACTCTCAAGTAATTTTTTTTTTTTTTTGATTTCATCGCTTTCCTCTCTGTGCAATGAAATTTGGGAGATATTTTAACCGAGTCCTTTCTTTGATTATTGAGGTAATAGTTGCCTAAAAGTTAATGAGTATGGACTCAACGAACCGGGTTCAAATTCTACCTGAAACAATATGTGTTCAGGCCAAACAAATAACCTTTGAAAAAGCATGAATTCACCTCTCCGCCCCAGATATTCTTAAATCTCAAAGCAAACTCTTTAGGGTGAATCATTTTGGGCGTTCGATAATCGATCAGGTTATGGAACTTTTCCTTGCTGCTGGTACTATGTAACCCAGCACAACCTGTCGTATGTGTATTTGGAGAGGGCATTAGTTAAACCATGTCAACGTTCTCATCCATTATTCTAACAAGGAGGCATATTGGGTATTGAACCTGATGATCTGGGTCATGCTGACCTTCCAAGTCTACGTTTCTCTACTTAAAATATAGACTTGTTACGTAAATGCGAGCTGTTTGAACTTATTTAAAATATAATCTGATACTTCCGCCATTTTGGAGTGAGTCCTTATCTTTCCAACGCTTCTTTCGGGTTATTGATCTCATTTTGTTGGGTGTTTCGTTATTGTCAAAAACATTTTCGGCAAATCAATTCTATATGAGATGCACTGCGCTATTTTTTCATCCGCGTTAGATTGCAGACTCACACGAATTTCTTTTTTTTTTTTTTTTAAGCATTTCCGTCATTTGTGCGCAGATGCATTCCCGCGCATAGCGCGGTTGCTGGTGGGGATGTGTGTGTGTGTGTGTGTGTGTGTGTGTGTGTGTGTGTGTGTGTGTGTGTGTGTGTGTGTGTGTGTGTTGTGTGTGTGTGTGTGTGCGTGTGCGTGTGTGTGTGCCTGTGTGTGTCTCTGTGTATGCTTTTTATTATTATAGATACCTAAATACATTGCCAACAGAGACCGACCGGTTAGATGTTTGCGTTTGGCTTCGTGAAAGCACGACCATCGATGGCTGACGAAAAAAACTCGTCTACCCAAATTTCATTTATAAGACTTAAGTCCTCCGGCACTTCCCAATGATGCCACCTGCTGGAATTGTTTCACTATGACGATATTATCAAGAAATACCCTCCGTGAATAACTAACCATTGAGAGATTCGAAACCGTTTTTTATAGTCGGTCGGAATAAATTGTTCGTATGGTAAGAATACACACACACGCGCGCGAGCGCATGTACATATATATTAAAATATTAAAATGATATTTATATATATATATAAAATAAAAATAAAAGATAATAATTACATCAAAGCAGATGAATAAATATAAAAAAAAATAAAATTCAACAACATTTACCCACTTTCGTTTATTAGGTATTAAATTACATCACTTAGCGTCTTCCATATTTTAACTTTCACAGTTAAACATAAGAATAATTTCGAGCGTTCTCAAATTTTAACATTTTGAAAACCTAACGATGTTTCTACTTCTGCTTATGCATGTTGCAAAATACAACTCTTGCATTTACTATGGTAAACTTTATATATATATATATATATATATATATATAGTCGAGCAAAAGCACAAGGCACATTGCCTTATGATTACATTTAACCTGAAACAGACTGTCGCCTCTAAGTGTTGACTTCAATGTCCACTTTATATTTACATACGCTCTATTACTGTTAGTAAGTACTTCAGCCAATAGCATATAGCATAGCTTAAAAGAATATATTATATATATATATATATATATATATATATATATATATATATATATATATATATATATATATATAGTATGTATGTGGTGCAGTCAATTTACATTACATGAATCATTCATACAAAATATATCCTTCCTATATATATATATATATATATATATATATATATATATATATATATATATATATGAACGTATGAGATTCAAGCAGCTCTGTTCCTAGGAGCCGACAGCCCAGACGCCAGCACATATGATTTGATTATAGTGGTGAAGGCTTTGTGCAGAACCAACCATACTTTTTGAATGTCCTGGTGCACTACGTCCTCAAACGACCCTCCTTATAATAATAATAATAATAATAATAATAATATTTTTTTTTTTACCGGCGATTTTCAAGTATTGTCTAATCAGTATTGTCGCAGAATATGTTTATATTATTAATGGATTGTTTAGCATGAAGTGAAACTATTTTTTAAATCTAGTTCCGGTGCGAAAAGAAAGGTTAAAAAAAACAAATTGTGTACTACATCAGGACTGGACGTGTTATTTCCCACCAGTGTCAAAGGTCGGATATCGAACCCAAATCCAAAATCAGGATTTCGCATGCTGGTTTTTCAGGATAGACAATCTCTCAACAGTTCGAAAACAATCTGCTTCTCTACGTTTGGATCTTATGCCGCATTAATTTGAACTCGGTAAAGACAATAGGACCAAAAATATCTTTTATAAATCCTTATCCATTTTTGTTAATACTGTCTCGCTTCTTAAATGGTCATTGCATTTCATTCTAGATAACTACGATTTATTTAGATGTTTTTTTGTAAGATTATTTGTATTCTTGTTTTTAAATATTGTTTCCTTTGATGTCTAAAAGACACAAAAAGAAACAAATGAGTTGATTGTTAAAACAGTTTGTTTTTGTGAATCCGATTGAACTGAATATTGCTACTTTTTTTTTTTTTTTGGCAAAAGCTCATGAACCAAAACTAAAGGTCAAAGGGCAAATCCATATGTAATTAACATTTCCTTAGTAGTTTTATTTTTCTAAGATAAACTCACTCTCTCTCTCTCTTTCTTTCTCTCTCTCTCTATCTCTCTCTCTATCTCTATCCCTCTCTCTCTCTTTCTTTCTTTCTTTCTCAGGATTATGGTGTTTGGAAGAGACGCCCTTTTTTTATTTTAAACGATGTAATACGTTTATCGGCCTGCGCATTCGAGAAATCAAATCTTAAGAAAATGTGCGAAACGCAGGCCGATAAACGTAATACAGACAACGTTTGAAGTAATAATGTTCGCCTCTTTTTCTATCATTCTATTTCATTATATAGATATATAAGCAGAGATAGATAGATAGATAGATAGATAGATAGATAGATAGGGATAAATTTCGAATAATGTATATATATATATATATATCTGTGTGCGTATGTAATAAAGTCCTTTCGATAAGGTGTTCATTTTATATACAGGCATACATATGAGATTGGATCAATAAGTTCGTAACCATACAGATTTACTCCTATTGAGTTATGTACAATAGATGTAATTCAGTGGAAAATGTTTGCGTAAATTAATTCCCAAGGAATTTTTTTTATTCTTACACAGTTTAATCTTAAATCATCTTTATGGCTCATAATATATATATATATATTAAAAAAAGTAGACATTGAGGTCAGCACCCACCCGGCAGTGACAATTTGTTTCATGCTTAAACGCAATCATCAGGGCAAATATCTACTTTAAATTGGTTGTATATATATATATATATATATATATATATATATATATATATATATATATATATATATAAAATAAATATATGGATATAGATCCGACAGTATGAAGAAAAAATATACGGAAAAAACAAACAAAAATCCTTATATACAATTATGCTGTTTTAATGTTAATATGTCAACGTCGGACGTTTCGGTCTAATAAACCATCTTCAGGACATATTCATAATGTTAATTATATTTTTTATGAATATGTCCTGAAGATGGTTTATTAGACCGAAACGTCCGACGTTGATATATTAAACATTAAAACAGCATAATTGTATGTAAGAATTTTTTTTTTTTTTTTTTATTTTCTTTCATATATATATATATATATATATATATATATATATATATGGTGGGTTGTGTTAGCCCCTTAACTTCATTAAGTTATTCTACTAGGAGGAGGAATATTCAGACGTAACATGTTCGGCTCAGTAGTAACCGATGGTGTAGACTTGCTCTCCTTTTTGGTTTATTGGATTTGATGTTCAGAATGTGGGCTTGACCCAGGGAAACGTCTTTCCTCAACGTAAAATAAACTTCCACTCACAGGCATTGCTGGATATTATTGTGAGGCCTTGCTTAGTGAAGCACAGCATGACCGTTAGCTTTTAAATACCAACCCGACAGATTGATAACTATGCTATTCATGCAAATGGCTACTATCTGAAACAATATCTGTTCATTTGTTAGATGTTACAGCTGATGCAAATAAGACTCAGGCATGTAGCGAACCACAGATTGCAAACTATGCGATATATTAGCTATGCAAGAAAGGTATATTCGCTCGCAACGCCATTAATAACGCCCAGATTAGTGTCATGCGATGGGCATACACAAATACGAAGTAGTTGGCTATCATA